GCCACCAGCCACTCTGTGGAAGGAAGACTGAGCAATCTACTTCCATAAAGATTTACCACCTCAGAAACCCAAAGTGGGTTGCTATGAGTCAGAATCAACTCAATGAGTGAGTTTGGGTGGTTTTTTTGTTTGTTTGTTTGTTTGTTTTGTTTTTTACTGCTGTGAATATTTTGGTAAAATACAACATGCCCTGTCTATGAGTAAGAATTGACTCTCTGGCCATGGTTTTCTTATATTGTATTTGTTGTTGTTCTTTATTTTTTTTATGTGTATCTCTGCTGGTGCAATGGTTAAGGCATTTGATTGCTAACCAAAAGTTCAGTGGTTCAGACTCACCATGGGAGAAAAATGAGACAGTCTGCTTCCATACAGATTTACAGCCTTGGAAACTCTTTGGAGGTCACTATACATCAGAATCACCTTGATGGCAGAGAGATTTCTTTCTTTTTTTGAGTGAGGGGTGTTATATCGTGAAGCTATTTTCAATATTCCAGAAGCTAAGAAAAAGATAAATTTGTCCCCAGAAAGTTTCACAGACTTTTAAAAATTCAGAATGCTTTGCTTTTGTCCAGACTGATATCAGTTAAATATGTCAACACTGTTCAACACATAGGTCCATAGCTCTATGTGTCTGTTATTTAGGTATTACCTTCAATTTTTGCAAAAAATCAGAGTGTTTTAACTGTCAAATAAATACGGTAATTTGAGTCATATGGGTTAAGAGTGTATATATGGCTCTGGTGTCAGGATTGCCCAAATCTGCATCCTGTTTTACCTTGAGTAGCTCCTTAATTTTTCTGAGTCTCAGTTTTCACATTTGTACAATGTATATAATGATAATATCCACCTCATAGATTTCTTTTAAAAAATTGTATTAGAGGATATCTGTAGGTGTTAAGCATTTCTATTATATCAGTTCCAACTTGCTGTAACCAGTAAGAGTTAATGTTTCTCAAAAATTGCCAAAATAACCAGTAAAAAAAGAGAGAGAGAGAGAGAAAGGAAGAAGAAGAAAGTTAAAAGAAAAAAACTGAAAAACTTGGAAGATCTGACATCATTATTTTATTTTATGATGAAAATAATTTTGACCTTCGGGGATGATTTATTTTGCTTTAGGAGCCTCATTTCTTCTGTACTGCTAACCAAACAGTTTACTCCATTTTGTGCAACAATTTATAATGAACCTTAAAAGAACTACTGATTATCTTAGGTTTTTGGCTCAATTACTTGTTTCAAATGCTCATTGACTAAGGGAAGCATGTCATTTTCTCCTCTCCTGCACACTGGAGCATAACAATAGACTGTGAATAGAGCAAATCAGGAGGGACACAAATACCAGTATAAGAGGCCTATTGTGTTTAGTTTGTAGCCCTGTCATATGGTTTTAATTTAGATTGGCTGATGGATTATGACAGAGTGACAGATAGCACATTGTTCCTCTCTTGGAATCTCTAGATACTTGAGTATTCCTATTCTTATCTGTCCATTTTTGTTCCAAAGCTTAAATGAAATGGAATTAAGGCATTCATTTTGTTTTCCTGTGCTAAATGATTATCTCTGAAGTGCAATTTTGTGATTAGGCGAGACAGCATGCATACACTCAGCTAATGCTGATTTCCCCCAGGGTGCAGAACAGGTAAATTCATAATGAATGGATGTTGTGCTTTGATTTCAAATGGATGTTAAACCTCACCACACTTGCTAGGTTTTCTTTTACAGAATGTATTTAATTATTCTAAAATTAACAGGAGAATATTAAAATTGAACTTTAGAAATATGGCATTTAAACTTAAGGGAACTAACGGCTTATGAATGTTAATCCCCTTCAAAAAATGAAAGGAATTAATAAAAATAAAATAAAATAAAAACCTTACCTGACATAAATTAGGGAAGGTTTGGTCATTGAAAATCTTTACTTTAATTATTTATGTTCCTCCTGATTAAAAATTTAAATATCTGATTGCAGCTTTTATTTGTATTGTCAAATTTTAGTATTCTTTATTTTGAAAACTAGGGTAATTATTCAAATAATTACTGTCATAGCATTGCCATAGTTGTTTGGTCCTGGGGGGTGCTTTTGTTTTAATAAGAAGCTAGGGGTTAATAGTGGCATAGTGCCTAAGGCATTTAACTGCTAACCAGAAGGCTGGCGGTTCAAACCCACCAGCCCCTCCTTGGAAGGATGATTGAGCAATCTACTTCTGTACTGATACTGCCTCAGAAACCCAAGGAGGGGTAGCTATGACTCGAATTGACTTGACGGCAGTGAGTTTGTTTGGTTTAGGAGCTCTGGTAGCTTAGTGCCTAAGGCACTTGACTGCTAACCAGAGGCTGGCGGTTCAAACCCACCAGCCACTCCTCCGAAGGAAGGTTAGGTAATCTACTTCCATAGTGACACTGCTTCAGAAACCCAAGGAGGGGTCACTATGAGTCAGGTCCGACTCCACAGCACATAACAACAACAATAACAAGCAGTTAATGGTTAGCACAAAATATTTTCTTTATTGTTTACCTTTAAAACAATTTGTATATGAGTCAAATTATAAGAGGATTGAGCAGTCTCAAAATTAAACACAGTTTTACCAAACCACTAAAGTAGATGATTGGTACCCAAACCATACCTTTAAACTGATTTACCTAGAACAAAAATTGATTACAGTATTGTGACTCTTGATATAGGGAATGTAGTAGAATAAGTTTTCCAAACAAATTTTAATTAAAACCCTATTTCACGAGGAATATTAAAACTAATCAGAACTTCATGTAGCAAATGATTAGTTGACTTCATTCTTTGATCAGCTCCTATTTCCCACACTTAAATATCTTAGCATAGTGTCCAGTATACAGTGGAGCTCAATAAATCTCATTCTTTGAATTTTCATTATCTTCCCATTGTTTTCAAATTGAGTGAAATTAAAGCTTAATAAATTGATAGGTGATTTTCAATAATACAGCACAAGGTTCAAGGAAAAACTAATCCATTAAAATTTTTTAATTTCCTTTAGGGTCATGGTCTCATGGTATAATCCAATCATTTGGCATAATATAGTTCTAAAAGTTTCTGTTTTATCTCCTGGTATGGTGAGTAGTGTCTAGGGTCTTAAAATCTTATGAGCAGCCATCTAAGGTACGACTACTGATCTTTATGCAACTGGGGTGGGGGAGAAGAAGAGAGTGAAGGAAGTCAAAGGATCAGAAAGAACTGGAGAACAGGACTAATTGTCTCCATGAACCACTGCCTCCTTGACCAGAAGAACTAGATTATGCCCAGCTACCATTACCAAATGTTCTGTTCAGGGGCACAGTACATAGATCATGATAGAAAGGGAGAACAATGTGGAACACAACTTTAAATTCTTGAAGAATCTGTGGAGACTGCAAGAGTCCGCAGGACTATGGCTTTGAGTTACTATTTAGACCTTGAATCAAAGCTCTCCCCTGAAGTAACCTTTAAACCAAATAACAATTTAGCTCAAAAAGTAAAGATTCTTTCATTCACTGCTGTCGAGTTGGATCCGACTCATAGCGACCTCTCCTTGGGTTTCTAAGGCAATATCACTACAGAAGTAGATTGCCCAGCCTTCCTTCCAAGGAGTGGCTGGTGAGTTTGAACGGCCAGCCTGGTTAGCAGTCTTAAGTACCTTTTTTTATTGTGCTCTTTTAAACAATTATCCCTATAAGACCAAATGTTGTTGTTGTTGTTAATGCGCCTTCGAGTCGGAGCCAACTCATAGTGACCCCTCCTTGGGTTGCCGAGGCAGTATCACTACAGAAGTAGATTGCCCAGCCTTCCTTCTGAGGAGTGGCAGGTGGGTTTGAACTGCCAGCCTTCTGGTTAGCAGTCAAGTGCCTTAGGCACTATGCTACCAGAGCTCCCTTAAGACCAAATAGGCAAAAGCTATTCTAAAACATAGAGGCAAAGGTTGGGGCAGGGAGTTTAAGTCAATGGGAGTAAAACAACTAGAATAGAAATAACAAGAATATTGACACAATGTGAAAAAT